ACTCTCTCACACACACACACACACACACACACACACACACACACACACACACACACATACACACACTCACACATACACAACATACACAGGCACACACATACATCCATAATAGACACACAAACATGCGTTTTCTAGTACAAACACACAAGACATTTAAATTTACAAGTTTTAAACCCTACCTTAGACAAAAAAAGCACCGTCAGCAAGATGATGCAAGTAAACATTTTGTTTTTCTCTTTAACTGTGCAGATTCTCAAACGACGTTCCACAACACAAACTGATGCAATACATAATTATTTTCTAAACTCAGCCTTAGACAAAGAGCACTCGTCAGCAGAAAGCTGCCAGCACACATTATGTTTTTCTTTGTTACTGCGCAGATTCTCAAAATGCGTTCTACAACACAAAATGATGCAACCCTTTTTTAAATAGTTTTCCCACGACCTTGTTAATATGAAAACTTGTTGACTTAACAATATTTTTCATCTCACCATGTAAACCCGGAGCTTCTTTATTTTTAAAAAAAACGGTATCTCAGAATTTGGCAAACATGATAAGCGTCCGTATCCTGCTTCCCGCAAGAGATCCTTTGAAGTGGCGCATGTCATCATAATTCAAAACAAACCTAATTTATGTTTTCTAAGCACGCAATCTTCCAGCATTAATTCCCCCCATTTTCCCTCCTCCAAAATCTCCCGAGGACCCATATAAATCTCCAAGCAAGAGTACTAATGTGAAAAGTGCTATTTCAACTGATTTTGTTGGATTTTTATTTTTTTGGGGTTTTTGGTTTGGCGAAGTGTTTTATCATTTTATGTGGTCAACACTTGCCCATCCTGTATAAATGGACGGCAACTGAGTAGCTCAACCACACAGATGCAGCGACTGTATGGTAAGTAGGCACATTCTTTTTAACTTTTTAAGAACGTAGCCGGCACTTTTGTCCGATCAGCAGCAGACCAAAAGCGATGTTACGATACATTTTGATCCATCAGAAACAGGTCTGAAACATACATTAATTCCAAAGATATAGCATTTGCATTGCTGTTTGCCTTACAAAGGACGGAACATTAAACATTGTGTATAAATAACGAAGTTACGCTTCATTTATTAACCACCCAAAAGCAGTAGGTCTTCAAACATTGTGAAGGACCAGAACGCAAGTCCTTAATGGGTTAAACAAGCAGGTTTATTTTTGTTGCTTAAATAACAATCTCTAGAATTGTCTTTGGGCGCTTTTGGTGACTTAGGTGAACAGACGATGTTCCTTCTGACGTAGATAGGGGTGGTGCCGACTTCCTAAGTAGGAAAATTAGGTTCGCTGGTTCTGAAGTTTAGGTGTAATCATTTTCCCCTGTGTTTAAGGTCACTTGTCCACACTGCATAAAGTATGCACATTTTACAAGTGAGACTTCAGTGAAACAATAAAAAAGGAGTGAATAACCGAGATTGGATGAAAATAATAATCTCCATATAATTATTCAAGAGCAGGCTGCGAGTTTTTAACGAGGCTACAACTCTTTGGTTCCAATACAGTGAGAGGTTGTTGATATACTCTGCTACTTCTGGAAAGGGAATTGCGAGAGAGAACAAAATATTATAACTGCAACAGAATTCTTCCTCTATGTTCTGTACACAATGATCAACAAACTTACGGTGGACTTCGATGAGAAATAGCTAAGTGCTTCTTACACTTTAAAAAGTACAGTAAAAAAAATAAATAAATAGCATTTGTATAGCGCTTATCCCCGCTCAACGGCAGGCTCTATGCGCTTTACACTGTATTATTACCCCAGCAGACCATAGAACACTCCGAAACATTCTCAGATTCCCGGGAAGCATACAGTGCAAGCAGCTGATTAAGCGCTCAAACACTAACAAACTGACAAGATATTTCGCTGTCTATAGCCGGGTACCCATTCCCAACTGGGTGAAGTGAGGAAAATGCGTGTAAAGTGCCTTTCCCAAGGACACAACATCGGGTCCCTGACAGGATTCGAACCCACGACTTAACGGTTGCGAGTCCGAGAGCCTAACCACTAAGTTTATTCATCAGTCTAAATGCATGATAAAAAGTAAACACCAACCATCTTGGAGGTCCCGTGTGCAAGGTGTGCTCATTAAAGACCCCTTAATGGTTCAAAATCGATAAGAGTAGACTTCGGCCACCATCCGAGCAAAATTCAAAATTAATTCCGACCAAAACTGAAAATGTTTAATGTTTGCCGCGGCGCTCATTTGACTTTATGTGGGTTGGGAGCTCAGTAAAACACTAACCAAAACAAAACAAACAATTTTCGTTTCAGTTTTGTTACACACTGTTATCCAAAAGAGTCAAACATTCCTATGATAATAATTTGTCATTAAAAAAGGAAACTTAATGAAATGTGAATAATTATAGCAGCATAATTTCACTGAACATTCTTGGTAAATTGTTCTCATTTATTCCTAACAAAAGTCTACAGTAATTTCATGATGAAAATGACCTTAAACTTGAATCATAGGCCGGTTTTAGACGATATTTTTGTACGATGGATTAAATGTTTTCTCTTCCGTCTTTAGTTCAAAAATAATCTCCAAGCCTGCGGGAGAATGAAAGTCAAATTTATTGACTTAAAACAAAAATATTTCAGTTTAAGCATTTTGTGTAACATTTATAGATTCCAAATAAAGACTCCTAGAGAAAAATGAAAGGTGTCACAATGTTCTAATTTTACAGTTTCCTGTTGTGATCAATAATCTGGTCTGTTCCATTTGGCTCAATCTTAAAACATTAAAACAGTTGTAACCACTTACGAATAATATTATTGAACACAGTCGTACTTGGAAAGGGTCACGGTATTCTACATAGACATTTGTAAAATGAATCATCGTTCTCAATATTTTTATATGATCAATGCAGTTTGCACCTAAGATATTCAAACCATCGCAAGCTGTTTAAGTGTTTGAAGACCAAAATTTTTTTTCAGGAGAAATAAAAAAATGCTTACCGCTTCCACTCCTTAAAAAAAATCTGTTCCTTAAAAAAAATAATAATTGTATCGTCATAACGTATCTTTCCTTGCTCTGTTAAACTATTGTCGTCGTCTAGCTATTAACTTGTTTTAAGCCCAGAAGGCAAAACGTTACAGTACAGGAGAAAGAGAAAACTGTTTAATTCTTTTAACAATTAAACCCTTCAATATAATTTTATATGAATATTTTTGGAGCACATTCAATCTCTACCAGAGAAAAAGACAATACAATTTTAAAAATTAAAAAAAAACCCATTGGGTTTGTAAAATCTCAACAGTAATCTAATAAAAATGATTTTTTGTTTGTATGTTTTGTCTCAATATTTCCTGTAGACTTCCCGGAAAAACTACATGAAGATTTTTGAGAACAGAATAACCAGCAGTACAAGAAACATGGACGCCACCTGGTCATTTACCAATCTTATTTTGGTAGCCGCCCTTGTAATGAGTTCAAAAGCATGGCGTCTCAATGTTTCGTCAGAAGAAATAGAAATCGCTAAGACAGCACACGTTTCTCTGAACTGTTTCAACCCCTATCAGCAGCCGGACATTTCGGAAATTCTATTGATGAGAATCCAGAAAAAACATTTGAGCGGATGGTCCAGTGTTGCGGAACTTCGGGACGATGATGTGGACGTCAGACTAACAGCTAAAGATGTGACCGCTACGGGCAGCATTGTCTCCGGGGCTAACAGCTATATGCGGCTTTCTTGGCCATTGGCAACTAACGATACAATCGGTGTGTACCGTTGTGATGTCACTATTTTAAATTCCCAAGGCAGTGTCGGGTGGCAGAAAAGCTTACCGACTTCCATCATTCGTAAGAGTGACGTCACTGTTCAGATCCTGAGTGAAATGGTAGAAGAGAACAAGAGACAGTGTATGCAACAAAAACACGACAGTCAGGAATACGTAGCAGCAGCCATAGAGGAGAACAAGAAAAATAGTCTAAAGGAAAAACAAGACATTTTCCAAAAAATGACAACGACCCTGAAGGCGCTTGAAGCGAGTTTCCATAGCAAGTTGGAAAGCCAGATACAGGTGAGAAGCTCATTCCAAATAATATTATGTATTCCTTAGTACAGAAACGTAAACTTTTATGTATAGCAACTTGAGCTGAAAGATTAAGCGTTTAAAAACAATCTAGTTTTCTATCTTTCTCCTTCTCCTTCTCCTTCTCCTTTTCCTTTTCCTTCTCCTTCTCCTTCTCCTTTTCCTTTTGCTTCTCCTTCTGCTTCTGCTTCTCCTTCTCCTTCTCCTTCTCCTTCTTCTTCTTCTTCTTC